CGTTGGTCCAGGCTGAGTTGACGAGATCTATGCTGGTGTAAGCACAAGTATATAATTCAAATTATTGGACATAATATCGTACACGTATCTGGCCATTGCCATGACGGAAAAGATGCCTGAAACGGCCCGTGTCCATAACCATCTCGACTGAATGTGTAGTTGTAGGTTAGTGCGGCGCTGGTGTTGGCAGCATCGAGTGTACTTGACTGTTTTGAGAGTTAGCTCATCTGGCCTATCTCGAAAGACGAAAGTTAGGATATTGAGAGATAACCTTTTGAAAATACGGTAGAAGGCCTTCCCAGCCCCAGCCGTAGTTGCCCATTTCCTCCCAAACATTGTAGTCAGAGATTGCACCTCTGCTGACAGTCATACCGTTGACGACGGAGCCGCCGCCAACAGTGGCGCCTTGGTGGAGAGTGAAGGTCCTGTTGCTGAGCTGGGGCTGTGGAACTGATGTCGGGTGGAACATTAGGGCTTCCTTCTGAGATTCTCTTGCATAGTACGGCATGGCCGTATTCCACGTGTCGTCGAAGTCTCCATACTCGACGACGAGGACGGTCACTGAACCAGAGTTAATGCTGTGTGCTCAGTTGCTCGAAAGTGGGCCGGCGTGCTCAGTCATACATACCATTAGCATCTTCGGTGAGTCTGTTCGCGACCACCAGACCTGTAAGCCCCCCACCAGCAATGATGTAGTCGTATGAAGACTGGAGCGCCGTGAAATCTCGGTGAATTCCCAGCGCGTGTACACCACTGAGCGGTGTAGGAGAAATGCAGAGAAGCAGGGGGACCACCACTAAAAGTCTTGCCATTTTGAAAGTCGATCACATGTATGGCGGACATGGAGTAGCATGGGAAGCAGTAACGACATATCCACCTCGCTATTTAACGCCATCTTCTCCGCAATCCAGTTGCACGCAAAAAGGACAAATCCCTCCATTGGCCCAGCCAATTCCGAGCAGATATTGCCATGAGGACCGAGAGAGCCAATAATGAACCATTGAGCCGGAGCAATACTTAGGGGTTTGATTAGCCTTACGGATAATCAGTGCAGCCCTTTCATTTTTCCCAAGTTCATTAACATTTCATGTAGTTGGTAAAAGTGGAGCAGGCGTCTGTCACTCATCTATCATCAAAGAGCTTCTCGGGATCACGTGGCTTATCCCGAATCATTACGTAATCGGACCCCGAAAAGGAGCAAGCTTGGAGCTCCAAAAGAACGCTACAGTGCAGGCAGTGCCTGCTGTGGTACCTATTGGGTGGTCGGGTGTGTTCCACACGATTGAGCTGCTGGAGTCGTCATCCTGCAAGTGCAACATAATAAGCAGCAGCAGCCACCACCAGTCCACCACCAGCACCAGCTACACGAGCGCCATCTCCACGCATGATCCCCGAGCTCCACCATCCTTGCACGACACTCAAACACACACCCCCGACTACGAAGCTGAAGACGATCGAAGATGATGTCTAGTCCTATGGCGCCCGAGGAGCAGGCACGCCTCCTCGAAGATGCCCTGATTGCCGTGCGCCAGCAGACGGCCCTGATGCGCAAGTGCCTCGATACCCCAGGGAAGCTGATGGATGCTCTCAAGTGCTGGTGCGTTCAATCCGAATCAAGCCCCCAATGCGATCCCCCAATGCGATCCCCAATTGCGACAATTCTAACTCGTTGACCCGTCGCACCTAGCTCGACCCTCGTCTCGGAGCTTCGAACAAGCAGTCTGGGCCCCAAGCAGTACTACGAGCTGTACATGGCTGTCTTCGATGCCCTGCGATACCTCTCGGTCCATCTGCGCGAGAACCACCCCGTCAATCACCTGGCCGACCTCTACGAGCTTGTCCAGTATGCCGGCAACATTATACCTCGCCTCTACCTCATGATCACGGTTGGGACAGCCTACATGTCCATTGAGGGCGCCCCCGTCAAAGAGCTCATGAAAGACATGATGGACATGAGCCGTGGTGTCCAGCACCCCGTCCGCGGATTGTTTCTTCGATACTACCTGTCGGGTCAGGCGCGCGACTACCTCCCAGCTGGCGACTCCGACGGGCCCGAAGGCAATCTGCAGGACTCCATAAACTTCATCCTCACTAACTTCGTCGAGATGAACAAGCTCTGGGTCCGGTTACAACACCAGGGCCATTCAAAGGAGCGCGACCAGAGGACACAGGAGAGAAAGGAGCTCCAATTGCTGGTCGGCAGCAACCTTGTCCGTCTGAGCCAATTGGTGGATCTTCAAGCATACAAGAACGGAATCCTGGCTCCCTTATTGGAACAGGTCGTGCAGTGTCGAGATGTCCTAGCTCAAGAGTACCTGCTCGAGGTTATCACCCAGGTCTTCCCCGACGAATTCCACCTTCATACACTCGACCAGTTCCTCGCCGCCGTGTCCAGACTGAACCCTCATGTGAATGTCAAGGCCATCGTCATCGGGTTGATGGATCGCCTCTCTGACTACGCCGAGCGCGAATCACAAAATGAGCCAGACGACGACAGAGGGAAAATGGAAGAAGAGGCCCTGGCTACCCTTCTCGACAAGGTCAAGCTGGGCAAAGCCGACGCTGAGGCCCAGGACGCAAGCCCCTCTGCATCAAGGAACCCCACCGATGCACCGGATGACCGGGACCATTACGACAGTGATGCTGGCTCGACGGCCGAGACGCTGCATAAAGACAAAGAGGCGGCACCGTCGGTTGCAGAGACCGAAGCAACGGCTGTCAATAGAGAAGAATCAGAGTCGACAAATAAGCGCCGGGGCATTCCTGAAAATGTGCGCTTATACGAGATTTTCTTTGCCCAAGTCAAGAACCTTGTGCAGGCCCAGCATCTTCCGATCCAGGATACAATCGCCCTTTGCGTCTCACTCACCAACCTAGCACTTAATATCTATCCCGAGAGGCTGGACTACGTAAACCAAATCCTTGATTATGCCAACGTCAAGGTTAAGGATCACGCCAACAGTGCGGATCTGCACTCGCAACCAGCTCAGCAGAGCCTACTCGCCCTCCTCCAAGCACCCCTGAAAAGATATGTATTCATATTTACAGCACTATCATTGCCCACATATGTTACACTATTTCACTCCCAAACATACCCTACCAGGAGGGCGGTCGCAGGGGATATTGCCAGAGATTTGCTGAAGAATCAGACATCTATCGCGACCACAACACAACTCGAGAACGTCCTTGAAATCCTAAAAGTGCTCATCAAGGAGGGTTCACAAGCGCCAGCAGGCTATCCTGGAGTTGTCCAGCCACGTGCCCGTGCCCTGGAGACAGACGAGACCATGGAGGAACAAGGCTGGCTGGCCCGCCTCGTTCATCTCCTCCACGCCGAGGACAACGATACACAGTTCCGCCTGCTGCAAATGACGAGAAAAGCCTACGCCGAGGGCAACGAGCGCATCCGGACCACCACACCTCCACTGATTACCGCCGGGCTTAAGCTTGCTCGTCGCTACAAGGCACGGGAGCACTACGAAGACAACTGGTCGTCGCAGTCTTCAGCGCTGTTCAAGTTCTTGCACTCGGCCGTGTCGACCTTGTACGCGCGGGTTAATGGCGCGGGTGCGGCCGAGCTATGTCTTCGTCTGTTCTGTCAATGCGGACAGACCGCCGACCAGGCTGGCTTCGAGGAGGTTGCCTACGAGTTCTTTGCGCAGGCATTTACAGTGTACGAGGAGGCGGTGAGCGACTCCAAGGCGCAGTTCCAGGCCGTGTGCGTCATTTCCAGCGCCTTGCACCGGACGCGGAACTTTGGCAAGGAGAACTACGATACCCTGATCACCAAGTGCGCGCAGCATGCCAGCAAGCTGCTGCGCAAGCCCGATCAGTGCCGGGCTGTGTACCTGGCGAGTCATCTGTGGTGGGCAACGCCGATGCCGGGCAGCGGAGAGGCTGACGATACTGAGGTGAGTGGCTGCGTGGGATTGCTATCTCCATTTTCTTGACTGTATTTGTGCTAATTTCTTACCAAATAGCTCTATCGCGACGGCAAGCGCGTGTTGGAATGCCTACAGCGTGCTCTTCGCGTTGCTGACTCCTGTATGGAGACGGCGACGTCCATTGAGCTCTTTGTCGAGATTCTGGACAGATATATCTACTACTTTGATCAGAAGAACGAATCGGTGAGTAACCATCATGTCTCTGATTGTACATGTCATCACCGGCAAGATTGCTGACTGTATCCTCCCTTGCAACAGGTGACAACTAAGTACCTCAACGGCCTCATTGAGCTCATACACTCCAACTTGGCGGGCAACCAGCAGGACTCGGCGTCGGTGGAGGCTAGCAGAAAGCACTTTTTGCAAACGCTCGAGATGATCAAGAGCAAGGAGTACGAGGGAATTGTGCTCGGCCCGAAGTGAGCGAGGGTGGGGTGGGGCTATGGTCATGAAAGTGTAATGGAAAGCAAAGAGAGGCGCATTTATCATTTTTTAGTTTATCCCAACAATGACAGTGGGTGGTGTGGTGTGCAGTGTTCAGTGTTCAGTTTCGATGAAATGGGTATAATGGAAGGAGGGATGTTTTATATCGCGTTGAGTAACCAGCAGCAGGAGTATTCAAACAACATTTGGATATGAAAAGTGTGAAGAGGCGCACAACGTCAAGCTGGCTGGGTCGATTGGTTTCAGAAACATTTTTTTGTGAACCATGCCCACCCACCAGACCCAGTTACTTATCAACCAAAACCAAGCAACGCGACTTGTTTGCGGATTCAATGGAAGGAAGCATCGCATCGTCGTTGGAGCTCATGCAGGTTCTTTCCCCCCTTTTCTTCAATCGTGTATTATAATGTGAGTTTAAATAGGTAGGTAGGCAGGAAATAGGTAAGCTCAAAAGGTACCGCTGTTGTTTGCTAATGAAATTGTCATTGGGCACTAAGTGCAATGTGATTACGTACCTACTCGAGAATGGATGGAGCACGATGAGATGTGATGGAGATTGGGGTCATGAGCTCGCGCAAGACCAGCATCCACAACACAAACTAAAATACCGTCGGCCTTGTGGCGCAACGGTAGCGCGTTCGACTCCAGATCGAAAGGTTATCCGTAAGTGTTCTCCACAACGACAGATGGATCCATTCCGAAGGAAAGAAATACTAACATGTTCAAAAGGTTCAAATCGGGTCAGGGTCATAAAATAACAACTTGTTGTTCAATTCTTTTTTTGGAATCTTTGTGTTCGTCTTGTCTCTGACTGGACAGTTACCACGAAGCGCCATTTCTCTCTTTTTATTTCACGCACTTCCTGTGCGTGACAGTCGGCGATTAAACAACGCAGCGTCTGGTGGCTAGACTACTAAGAACAGATATCTCTACAAAGTCACAACTTCAACGCGAGGTTCAAGTAGACAGACAGGCAGACAGGACTGCCTCTGGCTGCAAGCTGCTGTCTGTCCAGACTAAATCACGCTGACCGACATCCGGTATTGCGATTTGCGACATAGAAAATTGTATTGTGGAATTTACAAAGTCATAGGTAGGTAAAGGACAAAGCTGATCCTCCCCCCCCCCCCCCCTCCCCCAAAAAAAGATATAAAAATATAACGTATAAACCACAAGCAAAAATAACAGCAAGAAAAAAAAAAGACCGTCATGCGCCGTGCGATGCAAGAATGAAGAACGAAGAAACGCTGGTTTCCCTCCCAGCCGCCAAGCCGCCCTCCTCCCACCCATTTCTTTCCCTCTCCCCTCTAGAATATCCTACCAGCCGTGCTAGTTGGACCAACTGCGTGTGTGGGTGGCCAGAAAGACAACAGAGCCACGTACGGGCGTGGATTTGCCTGATTATTTCCAGAACTGTCCACCCAGTAGTTGCGACTCCTCTATGCGTCATCCAAAGCAAATATCCGGCCCGTTTCAGGTTTCGAGGAGGCAGTTACCGGGTAGTAAAAGGCGTATGTCTATACATATATGAAAGAGACGGAGACAATAGCAAAAAAAAAAAAAAACCACAATAGTTTAAGTTTCTTCTGACAGAGACTGGCTTCTATCTCCCGTACTCCACCAAGTTAGTAGCAGCCCGCTTGATAATGCTCGCGACCTTCTCGACGGTCCGGTTAGCAAGCGCCCAGTCCCCCGTGAGGACCGTGTCCCGGATGGCCGGGAAGAACGCCTCGTCGTACCCTGACCACAGCTGCGGTCCGAAAATGACATGCTTGAACTGTGTGCGATTCGGCACCTGTTTTGAACACACGAGTCAGCCACTTGTACTTTGTACTGTGTCATCAGGAGGGAAGAACTTACACCACCACCTGTCTCCAAATCCAAAAGATCCGTCTCAAACATGCCCATGCGGCTGTTGTACTCGCACCTCGTCTTGCCCAGCCCTGCCGGCTCCCACCCGCTCGCCGCCACAACGCTGTTCTCCCACCGCATCTCCCACTGGATGAACCGGCGCATCGACATGGCCACTTCGTCCGACGCCTGCTTGAGCGAGTCAAAAGAGAAGGGCGCGCCGTTGTTCTTGCCCCAGGCCGTGACCTCGTCCACCCAGCGGGACAAGCTGTCGGCGTAAGCGGGCATGTCAAACGGCATGACGGGGCGGTCGGCCAGCTCCAGGATGAGGAGGCCCACAATCTGGGCCAGAAGCGTGTGGTAGACGAATCCCGGGTCGCCAATCTGGTCCATCCACTCAAAGTTCTCGTAGTTGGAGTGATATGGGTATGAGCCGCCGTCGAAGTGCAGGTCCAGCGACGACGTGCCGACAATGTCCTGGAAGGCGACGTAGTCGGAGCCGGCGCCGAGACCCTCGAGCTCAGCCTTTCGGCGGTCCCAGAGATCGCGAAGGGTGGTGTTGAAGTTGGGGTCCGAGACCCGGTTCAGGACCTGCAGCAGCACTTTGCGGAACACTGGCGAGCCGGCGGCATGGAAGGCGTCGCCCGTCACAGCCGTGTCGAGGTTGATATAGGCGAGAGCATTTCTGCGGAGGAGGTCGTCGTTCTGCTCGACATATTCGGTCGAGCCAATCAGGTTGTACTCCTCGGCGTCCCAAGACATGAACTCGATGGTGCGCAGTGGTCTCCAGCCCCTGGCAACAAGCAGGCCCAAGACACGTATCACCTCCAGCATCACGGCCGTCCCTGAGCCGGGATCAGCGGCTCCAAACGCCCACGAATCGCGGTGATTGCCGATGATAATCTTCTTCTCCTGTTGCTCCACTCCAATAATCTTGCCGTAAACATTCCAGATCGGTTGCTTCTCGTTCTCGTCCTGTTCGTTCTTCAGGCGCACAATCGGCGACGTGTGATTGCCGGTCCACCACTCGCCGACGTCGGGAACCCCGCCTTGCCATCCGTCCGGAACAGGCTGGCCAAACCCCTTGAGATGCTGGAGCAGAACCTGGGCGTCGCGCCACGCCAGAGGAAGACTGGGAATCTTGACCAGCCCGGGTGTTTGGCTGACCTTCTCACGCGGCATGTTCTCCTTGCTCCCCCAGCCCGGCGTCAACACGTCACCGACAACCCAGCTCATCAGGCTGACGGCTCCTCTCTGCACGCCGTCGGCAGGCATATAACGCCCCTTGGGCGCCACCTCGCCCTTCACAAAGCCGTCGTCTCCCGGATCGCTGTAGATAAGACAGCCGGCGAACCCAGCAAGCTCGGCGGCCTTGACCTTCAGCGCCCGGTCGCCCTGCGAGCCGTAGTATTTCACCAGGGCAATCGCGCCCTTCGTGTCAATACCACTGTCCTGGAGCTTCTTAAAGTCCTCTCTCGACCCATAGTTGGCAAAGATCAGCGGTCCCTTGACATCCCCAGACTTGGAATGGCCATGGAAGGCATACGTCTGCCGACCGGCCGTCTCGCCGCCGACCTCATCTTCTTCCAACTTCGCTGACCATATTGGCTTGTCGTCCTTGCCCATGATCTCGACCGCCCTGCCGCCTTCCTTGGGGTAGTTCAAGTAAACATGGTAGACGTCCATCGTCACGTCCTCCAAGCCGTATTTTTTAAACAGCATCTGCGTATCCTCCGCCAGAGCGAAATCGCCCTCGGTGCCCGCAATGTGTGCGTAGCCCGTAAAATGCTGCAGATTATCCCGTATCCTGCGCGGATCCATGTTGCCCTGCACGTAGACGCGCACGCTCTCGGGGTCGAACATCTGGCTGCCCATGCGCCGCGCCATGTTGGTGAAGAGATCGCTCATAAAGAGAAGGTAGAGAAAGCCCAGCACCAGGGTGACGGCGAGGACGCGGCCGATTAGGAGGATTAGTGCCGCGCTGCCAAAGGTGGGGAAGGCGAAGCGCTGTCCGGGCGTGACCTCGTCGCCGTCGTTGGTATTATTTGTGCCCGCGCTGGCCGTGGCGTCCTGGCTCTGTTGTTCGCCGAGCCTGATGCGCAGCCGCGGCAGCTTCCACCTCCAGCCGTTCCATCGCCATTGGGGCAGCGAGAATCCGATCCGCTTGCCCCATGAGAGATTTCGCGATCGATCGTTAGGGTCCTCGATCTCCAGTTCCTGCATCTCCCGCCGTACGTGGTCTGCCTCGGAATCCGAATCGGAGTCGGAGTCTAGGCCGCTCTCGTTGTCTGTCTCGACTGTCGGCGGCCGATAGCCCCCCCGTGGCCGTCGCAAGCCTCTAGCATTGCGGTTGCTGGTGGTGTATTCGGAGGGGGTCTGTGGGTTTAGGAGCGATTGGCCTTCTGTCTCGCCGGGCCGGGCGTCGTCGTCGAGGGGCGAAGGCGAGGGTGAGAGCTCGTGGCGTTGCCAATCGGTGCTGCTCCCCCCGGCGACTGCCTCATCGTAGGAGGGTATCGGGGGGACGGGCACGTATCTCTGCTTTTCGGGAGCCATCGTGGGCGGCTAGCCGCTACCTTGTGTGGGTTTGGGTGTCGTTCTCGACCGCGGTGGACATTCGAGATGCAGCCGATGGATGGGATTAGGTAGGTTCGTGGTTGGTAATAGACAAGGGAAAAATGGTCGGCGTTGTTTCTTGGTCGTGGTGGTTGGAATGCGAAGGATTGATTGTAAATGAGCGTGGTGAAAAAGAGAGAAGAGAAATAATGGAGATTAGGAAAGCAGGGAGATGCTCATCAGTCCAGCTGCTCTGCGAGCCGACATGGATCGAGATAGGTGCAAGTAAGGCGGTGGTGGTGAAACTGAAGATGGGGATGTTGAGGTAAGTAGGTAGTGTTCTTTCAGTGGTATTCAGCGCAATGCATCCATCTCACCTGCCTAACTTGCACTCGACACGACACTTTGCGGCGCGGCCAGGGGCGACAGCAGGGGTTCTTGGCGACACTGTGTTTCCGACCGACTCCTCGGGCACTCCGCAACGTTCCGGTTGAACATGGACGACTCAGCAGGGTCTGCTTAGTCACTTTTCTGGGTACCCGGCACAGCCCCCGCCATGGTTTGACCACAATCGCCCCAAATTGGATTTTGCACTCAATCGGGAATTGGCATTTCCACCAAAGTCGAGATGGAATCTCGGATGTTGGCGCATGTGTCTAAATCAACGATGTTATCATTCCCGTCGATAAGTTATCTGGCTCCATTCTCGGCTCAGCTTCGCATAATACATGACACAATGCACCCTGCGCACCCTGAAAAGCAACCGCGGTAGCATCCCCGTGGGTCCGCAGAACTCGTCATCAGCTTCCCGAAAACTAGAAACTGCCGGGTCAGGGGCAGACCATTTGACCTTTTTGGTGGAGCTCTGCATTCGATCTAGGACAATGCAAGTAGTGCAGTTGCAAATATGTGTAGTTGCAAATATGTGTAATATTTGCTGCACCCCTGGCGGATACTCTAACAGAATATGTGCTTTCTCTACTTTGTAGATGGTACAAGGATAGACGACAGAATCCACTCCTAACAAGGGGTAGAAAGAACTTGAACTAACTGCACAAAGGTAGGTATATAAGACTAAAGTACTACGGCAGTTTTATGCAACGGGGTCATGCAGCTCTGCGAATCATGGATTTCATGATATCTTTATTAACTCTTGCCAGCCTATCTAAATGCATGTTGAATAGAATGATTACAAGCGTCACCGAAGTACAAGGGTCATCGAAAAGAAATACACAACGACAACCAACTGCATTTAGTTGCGCCTTGCCTTGCTATAATTGT